GTATTTGTGAACTAAAGTCTTTGAAAATGTAATAAGTTTTACGAAACGCGCTCGTGTCGCGTCAGACTAGAAATAAAAATGAATTTTGGAGAATTGATTTTTGATTTACCTCCAACAGTGAAAAGAAATGTACGAAAGATTGAGAAAATTCGTGTTAGAATTATTAATCTTACTTTTTCGGTCATATTTAATAATATATATATATATATATATATATATATATATATATATATATATATATATATATATATATATATATATATATATATATATATATATATATATATATATATATATGTAACCTTTGCCAACAAACTCCTCCCCCCCCCCCAACAGGTCAATATGTTCCGTAGTACCATCCCGGACCTTGAGGTTGCGGTACCTCAGCTCTCCTGACCTTGCACCGTCACCTTGCCCAGGCGGGGTGTTGCACAGCTCACAGTTCAAACTCGGCGACTCCCACGAGTGCTCTGTGACACCTGGTCATGAAGTGTGCTGCAGAATAGTTCAATTTTGTTATTAACACGTTTAGGTACGCCTGCATTTGTGCAGCTTCCCTAGACTATGTGAAAGGCAGTACAGTGGGAAAAACTAGCTACGTGATGCTAAAAACCCGTATCACACAGGATGGTTAGTCCTACAGAGGCATGTGGTAAGTAGTCTGCACTGGTAAACTCTGGTTGCATTATGAGGATAGAATAGTTTTTAACTCGACAAATGCTCCCGAAATCTGACGTTCCTCTCACAGTGAGTTTCGGTGAATATAATCGCCCTCTTTCCCATCTCTCATTTTTCATTCTTCGTTTATCCCTTTATTTACTTCACTAGCTCTCCCTCCCTCCCTCCCTCCCTTCACCAACATTCTTCACGATCAGTTATTCACGCTCTCTCATTATCTCTTGTCATCATCTCTGCATTGAATGCTCGCTCCCGCCAGGACTCGCTAAACACACCAACTGTAATTTCAATATACGTTCACATAGGTGAGGATGGGAGAGCATCAGCGATGCGAGGCTGACACTCACATGCACCCAGCGTCTACACGGAGCTGTTGCATGACTTGCACACGCTGCAAGATGGGCCGAACAGAGCTTTGATAGAGGTCACCCCCGGGTTGACCTGGGGGTGACCTAAGATAACGGAGAATGAAGATGAGTGATGATAAATGGAGGCCTTTTGAGAAAGTATCATCAGCAATCTCCATACTTTCCACAAATACATGGAGGGTAGACATCAAAACAAACTTATTGCTTGAAGCACATATAAAACATTTAACATCAGCGCCATATGCAATATAGGCAGCCGTGATACGTATTTGAGAGTATGAACGGTTCATCACTTGTTCACCATACGAGCTCTACAGGACAACGAAGCTTGAAGTCCTTATTTCGAAAAGCTCATATAGATAGGAAATATGCAGGGATATGCAACCAGTCTAACATGAAACATTCAATAAATATATTACGAGGACTGAGAAGAAAGAAAAGAGAGGCATGATCATGATATAAGAAATTTTTACGTGTATCAACAAGGTAAACAAAAGCCTTCATATATGCCAATACACACACACACACACACACACACACACACACACACACACACACACACACACACACACACACACACACACACACACACACACACACACACACACACACACACACACACACACACACACACACACACACACACACACACACACACACACACACACACACACACACACACACACACACACACACACACACACACACACACACACACACACACACACACACACACACACACGGATCCAGGCTACTAATCATGGGAGACTTCAACCATGGGAAGATAGATTGGGGGGAACAGAGACCCACATGGAGGCCCAGACACATGGAGAGCTAAGCTGCTGGATGTGGCAACAAGAAACTTTCTAAGTCAACACGTCAAGGGACCGACAAGAATGAGAGGAGGGGATGAACCAGCATTGCTTGACCTGATATTTACCCTAAATGAGTCGGATATAAGGGAAGTTAAGTTGGAAGCCCCCTTGGGAATGAGTGATCATAGTGTATTTAGCTTTGAGTACCTGGTTGAGCTAGGAATTATCACCCACAAAAAAGAACTGGGAAACAAAGGGCTGGCGTACCGAAAGGGAAACAATGAGGAGATGAATAAATTCCTATGGGTTATACATTGGGACACAGAACACGGAACCAACTCTGTACAAGACATGATGGACTATGTAACCCAAAAATGTCAGGAGGCTGTAAGCAGGTTTGTCCCAGCCCGACAGGAAAAAACAGAGAAGCAAAGGAAGAATCCGTGTTTTAACAGGGAATGTATGAAAGCAAAGGAGCTGAACAAAAGGGTTATGGAGGAACTTCCGTAATAACTGAACTGAAAGTAGAGATAGATACCAGAGAACCAAGAACGAGTATGTTAGTGTGAGAAGAGCAGCTGAGAAAAGGTATGAAAATGATATAGCTAATAAAGCCAAGACCGAACCAAAGCTACTACACAGTCACATCAGGAGGAAGACAACAGTGAAGGAACAGGTGATGAAACTAAGGGTGGGCGAGGACAGGTACACAGAGAATGACAAAGAGGTGTGTGAAGAACTCAACAAAAGGTTCCAGGAGGTCTTTACAATAGAACAGGGAGAAGTCACGGCGCTAGGAGAGGTGGCAGCAAACCAGGTGACCTTGGAAAAGCTCGAAATTACAAGAGATGAGGTCAAGAAGCCCCTATTGGAGCTGGATGTGAGAAAAGCTGTTTGGCCGGACGCAATCTCACCACGGGTATTGAAAGAGTGTGCAGGAGCACTTTGCTTGCCACTCTCCATAGTGTATAGTAGGTCACTGGAAACGGGAGACCTACCAAAAATATGGAAGACTGCTAATGTAGTACCAATATACAAAAAGGGTGACAGACAAGAGGCACTGAACTACAGGCCAGTGTCCTTAAGTTGTATACCACACAAGGTGATGGAGAAGATTGTGAGAAAAAACCTAGTAACACATCTGGAGAGAAGAGGCTTCGTGACAACCCATGAACATGGGTTCAGGGAGGGTAAATCTTGCCTTACAGGGTTGATAGAATTCTACGATCAGGTGACAAAGATTAAGCAAGAAAGAGGATGGGCGGACGGCATTTTTTTGGACTGTCGGAAAGCCTTTGACACAGCACCCCATACAAGGTTGATGCATAAGCTGGAGAAACAGGCAGGAGTAACTGGTAGGGCGCTCCAGTGGTTAAGGGAGTACCTAAGCAATAGGAAGCAGAGAGTTACAGTGAGGGGTGAGACCTCAGAATGGCGTGAAGTCACCAGTGGAGTCCCACAGGGCTCTGTACTTGGACCTATCCTGTTTCTGACATACGTAAATGATCTCCCAGAGGGTATAGACTCATTCCTCTCTATGTTTGCCGACGACGCCAAAATTATGAGAAGGATTAAGACAGAGGAGGACAGCTTGAGGCTTCAAGAAGACCTGGACAAGCTGCAGGAATGGTCAAACAAATGGCTGTTAGAGATTAACCCAAGCAAATGTAATGTAATGAAGATAGGGGTAGGAAGCAGGAGACCAGATACAAAGTATGATTTGGGAGATGAAATACTTCAAGAGTTAGAGAGAGAGAGAAAGACCTGGGGGTTGATATCACTCCAGACCTGTCCCCTGAAGCTCATATCAAGAGGATAACATCAGCAGCATATGCCAGGTTGGCTAACATAAGAACGGCCTTTAGAAACTTGTGTAAGGAATCTTTCAGAACATTATATACCACATATGTCAGACCAATCGTGGAGTATGCGGCTCCAGCATGGAGTCCATATCTAGTCAAGCATAAGACTAAACTGGAAAAGGTTCAAAGGTTTGCCACCAGACTAGTACCCGAGCTGAGAGGTATGAGCTACGAGGAGAGACTACGGGAATTAAACCTCACTTCGTTGGAAGACAGAAGAGTTAGGGGAGGATATGATCACCACATTCAAGATTCTCAATGGAATCGACAGGGTTGATAAAGACAGGCTATTTAACACAAGGGGCACACGCACTAGGGGACACAGGTGAAAACTGAGTGCCCAAATGAGCTACAGAGATATTAGAAAGAACTTTTTTAGTGTCCGAGTGGTTGATAAATGGAATGCATTAGGAAGTGATGTGGTGGAGGTTGACTCCATAAACAGTTTCAAATGTAGATATGATAGAGCCCAATAGGCTCAGGAACCTGTATACCTGTTGATTGATGGTTGAGAGGCGGGACCAAAGAGCCAGAGTTCAACCCCCGCAAGCACAACTAGGTGAGTACACACACACACACACACACACACACACACACACACACACACACACACACACACACACACACACACACACACACACACACACACACACACACACACACTCACACACACACACACATCCTCACACACACACACACACACACACACACACACACACACACACACACACACACACACACACACACACACACACACACACACACACACACACACACACACACACACACACACACACACACACACACACACACACACACACACACACACACACACACACACACACACACACACACACACACACACACACACACACACACACACACACACACACACACACACACACACACACACACACACACACACACACACACACACACACACACACACACACACACACACACACACACACACACACATACACACTGACATTGAAGTAGTCGAAACCTTAAAGCAGAGACTAGCACAAAAACGTACCTGTATGCAGGGCATATTGCTGATAATTCACTTATGAGCATCACGTTTTCTTCATCAAAACATAAACCAACCTTTTAATACAGCGTTAATTTGTTTACTTTCCATTCCAATAGGACTGTGAACGGCAAACAAAATAAAAACAGCTAACTCTTGATAATCAGCTGATGTGTTTGTCCATTCCAAACAATACGCCCCACCCACCTTAGTCTTAGTCTGCGCCACACACCCAGCCAAGACTCACCCAGGTCCGCTCCATGTCGCAACCTTGAGGACACTAAGCTCGGACCTTGGCCTTCGCGCCAGTTTTATGCGCCTGTTGCAACCTCATCTGTATCCTTGCCACATGCCTGCGGAGGAAGCCACTATCTGTCAGTTTCTTGAAGGATCAGCATTGTACATACCAACATTTAAGAATGAATTCATGGATAATCATTCGAAGGTGAAGCATGTGTGTTATACACACACAGTTGCGAACCGATTACTAGGGAAAAGGTCAATTGTAGACATGGTATCAACGTACAAGATACTGAGGCAAAATAAATCAAGATAAACTATTAAAAGGAGACGTAGCATTAGACGAGACATTTGGAAACAGGAATAAAGAATTTCTTCATTGTACGAGAAGTATTGACCACGTGGAATGAACTAAGAGAAGACGTCACAGAGATCAGCTCGCTGGTCCGCCAGTGTGACCAGACCCATAACAACAATATGGGGTACAACTTGTTCTACCCATCTTAAATGTCCCAAAATAATAATTAGAATGTAATCATTCGTAAACTGACTCAATTGATTAACATAAGGGTTACACTAAAAGGAATAGAGAAATGCCTTGAGATAACAGAGATAGAGAAGATAACGGGACGGGGAATTTGAAGGAGGCAGCAGATAGCTATCCAAGGACCCCTTATCCAAGGATTCAAGCAATACGAAAAAACCTCTCTTAATAATGCAGTTTTCTTTTGGGGAAAATTTAATGAATGCATTAGTATGTTTGGCGCCTTAAATATATTTGTTTTCCTTCTTCGGCTATGTTCTTATCTCCTTAGGAGGAGGAAACTTTCCGGGAATGTCAGGAGTCATGCGCGAGGAAGTGTCTGTTCGGGAGAATATCGCGCCGTTTCTGAAGTGGCTTGCTCAAACGTACTTTAGTATGATTTCTCTCTTTTCATATTTTTCAAGTGAGAGAGAGAGAAAGAGAGTGAGTGTGTGTGTAATAGTGCTGTGAGAGTGTGTGGTAGTGTTGTGAGTGTGTATGGTAGTGTTGTGAGTGTGTGTGGTAGTGTTGTGAGTGTGTGTTGTAGTATTGTAAGAGTGTGTGGTAGTGTTGTGAGAGTGTGTGGTAGTATTGTAAGAGTGTGTGGTAGTGTTGTCAGTGTGTGTGGTAATCTTGTGAGTGTGTGGTAGTGTTGTGAGAGTGTGTGTTGTAATGGTGTGTGTGTGTGGTAGTGTTGTGAGTGTGTGGTAGTGTTGAGGTAGTGTTGTGAGTGTGTGTGTGGTAGTGTTGTGAGAGTGTGTGGTAGTGTTGTGAGACTGTGTGTGGTAGTGTTGTGAGAGTGTGTGTGTGGTAGTGTTGTGAGTGTGTGTGGTAGTGTTGTGAGAGTGTGTGTGTGGTTGTGTTGTGAGAGTGTGTGGTAGTGTTGTGAGAGTGTGTGTGGTAGTGTTGTGAGAGTGTGTGTGTGGTAGTGTTGTGAGTGTGTGTGGTAGTGTTGTGAGAGTGTGTGTGTGGTAGTGTTGTGAGAGTGTGTGGTAGCGTTGTGAGTGTGTGGGGTAGTGTAAGTGTGTGTGTGTGGTAGTGTTGTGAGTGTGTGTGGTAGTGTTGTGAGAGTGTGTGTGTGGTAGTGTTGTGAGAGTGTGTGGTAGTGTTGTGAGAGTGTGTGTGGTAGTGTTGTATGAGTGTGTGGTAGTATTGTGAGAGTGTGTGGTAGTGTTGTGAGAGTGTGTGGTAGTGTTGTGAGAGTGTGTGGTAGTGTTGTGCGAGTGTGTGGTAGTGATGTGTGTGTGTGTGTGTGTGTGTGTGTGTGTGTGTGTGTGTGTGTGTGTGTGTGTGTGTGTGTGTGTGTGTGTGTGTGTGTGTGTGTGTGTGTGTGTGTGTGTGTGTGTGTGTGTGTGTGTGTGTGTGTGTGTGTGTGTGTACTCACCTAGTTGTACTCACCTAGTTGTGCTTGCGGCGGTTGAGCTCTGGCTCTTTGGTCCCGTCTCTCAACTGTCAATCAACAGGTTTACAGATTCCTGAGCCTATTGGGCTCTATCATATCTACACTTGAAACTGTGTATGGAGTCAGCCTCCACCACATCGCTTCCTAATGCATTCCATTTGTCAACCACTCTGACACTAAAAAAGTTCTTTCTAATATCTCTGTGGCTCATTTGGGCACTCAGTTTCCACCTGTGTCCCCTAGTGCGTGTGCCCCTTGTGTTAAACAGCCTGTCTTTATCAACCCTGTCGATTCCCTTGAGAATCTTGAATGTGGTGATCATGTCCCCCCTAACTCTTCTGTCTTCCAAAGAAGTGAGGTTTAATTCCCGTAGTCTCTCCTCGTAGCTCATACCTCTCAGCTCGGGTACTAGTCTGGTGGCAAACCTTTGAACCGTTTCCATTTTAGTCTTATACTTGACTAGATATGGACTCCATGCTGGAGCAGCATACTCCAGGATTGGTCTGACATATGTGGTATATAATATTCTGAAAGACTCCTTACACAAGTTTCTAAAGGCCGTTCTTATGTTAGCCAACCTGGCATATGCTGCTGATGTTATCCTCTTGATATGAGCTTCAGGGGACAGGTCTGTCGTAATATCAACCCCCAGGTCTTTCTCTCTCTCTGACTCTTGAAGTATTTCATCTCCCAAATGGTACCTTGTATCTGATCTCCTGCTTCCTACCCCTATCTTCATTACATTACATTTGCTTGGGTTAAACTCTAACAGCCATTTGTTCGACCATTCCTGCAGCTTGTCCAGGTCTTCTTGAAGCCTCAAGCTGTTCTCCTGTGTCTTAATCCTTCTCATAATTTTGGCGTCGTCAGCAAACATTGAGAGGAATGAGTCTATACCCTCTGTGAGATCATTTACGTATATCAGAAACAGGATAGGTCCAAGTACAGAGCCCTGTGGGACTCCACTGGTGACTTCACGCCAGTGTGAGGTCTCACCCCTCACTGTAACTCTCTGCTTCCTATTGTTTAGGTACTCCCTTATCCCCTGGAGCGCCCTACTAGTTACTCCTGCCTGTTTCTCCAGCTTATGCATCAACCTCTTATGGGGTACTGTATCAAAGGCTTTCCGACAGTCCAAAAAAATGCAGTCCGCCCACCCTTCTCTTTCTTGTTTAATCTTTGTCACCTGATCATAGAATTCTATTGAGCCTGTAAGGCAAGATTTACCCTCCCTGAACCCATGTTGATGGGTTGTCAGGAAGTCTCTTCTCTCCAGATGTGTCACTAGGTTTCTTCTCCATCACCTTGCATCGTATACAAGTTAAGGACAGTGACTTGTAGTTCAGTGCCTCTTGTCTGTCACCCTTTTTGTATATTGGTACTACATTAGCAGTCTTCCATATTTCTGGTAGGTCCCCCGTTTCCAGTGACCTACTATACACTATGGAGAGTGGCAAGCAAAGTGCTCCTGCACACTCTTTCAATACCCATGGCGAGATTCCATCCGGCCCAACAGCTTTTCTCACATCCAGCTCCAATAGGTGCTTCTTGACCTCATCTCTTGTAATTTCGAACCTATCCAAGGTCACCTGGTTTGCTGCCACCTCTTCTAGCGCCGAGACTTCTCCCCGTTCTATTGCAAAGACCTCCTGGAACCTTTTGTTGAGTTCTTCACACACCTCTTTGTCATTCTCTGTGTACCTGTCTTCGCCCACCCTAAGTTTCATCATCTGTTCCTTCACTGTTGTCTTCCTCCTGATGTGACTGTGTAGTAGCTTTGGTTCGGTCTTGGCTTTATTAGCTATATTATTTTCATACCTTTTCTCAGCTGCTCTTCTCACAGCTGTGTGTGTGTGTGTGTGAGTGTGTGTGTGTGAGTGTGTGTGGTAGTGTTGAGATTGTGTGAGGTAGTGTTGTGAGAGGTCATTTGTAATATAAATAAATCTTTTGTTTATATTAAAATCGCTCCTCCGTGTTGTGTAGTAGAGAAAAAATTAATTATATCAAGTTTACGTAAAGCTATGAGGGCAACCTTAGCCGACGGAGCAAACTTACGAAGGTTTTCCTTCTTAGTGTACCTACCTGAATACCGACGTAGCCGCTACGAAGGTGCTAAGAAGGAAAAACATTCGTAAGTACCTTCGTGAATCTGGTCCCTGAGCTCCGGGTCCTATAAAATTGGCATTGCACACCTGAGTATATAGGAATATGATACACGTAAAATTGATTACGTGCACAACACAACTCATGTTGTTATTGATCCCATCCTATGTAAGGGTCGGTAAAATAATTAAATGGTGCTATTTTGTTCACCATTTAGAACAACACTAGGTTATGGTAATATATATCCTACCCTAATGCTGGTTGGCACAATTATTTTAATGAGACTAGGTTGTTCATTATTTACTTCAACACTAGTCTATAGTAATATCCTACCCTAATGAGGGTTGGCAACTAGCTACTGTATATATTGTAATTAACAAAATAATTAAATGGTGCTATTTTGTTCACCATTTAGAACAACACTAGGTTATGGTAATATATATCCTACCCTAATGCTGGTTGGCACAATTATTTTAATGAGACTAGGTTGTTCATTATTTACTTCAACACTAGTCTATAGTAATATCCTACCCTAATGAGGGTTGGCAACTAGCTACTGTATATATTGTGCAATGGGGACAAAGATGCAATAAAATTTATTTGGATTATTATTTTATACGTTAAATGTTTCTCCTACTAAAAAAATATATAAATAACTAGGTTTGGTAGCCTCTCATCAGCCTCTGGTGATATTTAATGGTAATAATTATTTTATTAGCCACATAAGTTTGAGATTCTCGTGAGAGGTGTACTTCGTCAGGAGATAAGTTCTCATGGAATAAACGAGCAGTAAAATGGGTGTAGGTGTGTTACGGACCCGAATCCAGCGTCCGAGCACGGAGCAGTGACGACCGCGCCATCTGTGGGTCAGCTCCCGAAACCCCCTCCAAATGGACGACGACACCTGGTGAGGACGAGGTGTACTGGCCACGAGGGCCAGTTTCCAGTCCTGTTCAGCTCACAACACAGCCGCTGCTGACCTCTGGTGAGGTGGTGCTCAGACGACAACGCC